ATTGATTCTGAGTCTATAGTTTTACCCAATGTCAGAAAACAATGAACTAAAATGAAGGAGAAATATTGAGAGTGGAGAAATGATTTTATTTGAAATATAGATTTCAGTTAACTTCATTAGTAAAGAGAAGGCAAGCAAATTGAGTTTATGCATCAAAAGCTTACAAAATACAAACAAAAAATAAACTGTATATGAATTTTAGGTAAACTAGTTTGTATAGTTTTTGCAGATATACATATATAAATAATTTTGTGTACCTTATATCAAGGCAGTTTCCACAAGACTATTCTCCATGGAACAGAAAGGGTAAAGTCAAGGTTTTCTTATTTGAAATTCCCCAAAACTTAAGGGGCAAGATAAGAAACTCAGACTAATCAATATTTGGCAAAGTTTGTGTGGAGTAATAGAAAATTTATTTGTTTCTCCCTTCTCTCAGGTTCTGGCACAGAGCTTCTAAAGCCCTTAGAATTTCCTGAGTAATGGGAGGATCTTTTGTTAATATTAGTCTCATTTGACCTGGTTTATAATAATGAAATGACTTAAGGTTTAGGGTACAGGGAGAGGGGCTAGATAGCTTTTGGATGGGGGCTAGCCACCGGAGGAACCAATCCACTGATTAGAGGCTTAGAACTTTTAACCATATTTGGAGATCAAGGAGGGTGGAAGGGCTGGAGATGAAGTCCAATCAGGTGGTTAATGATTTAATCAACCACACCTAGGTAATGAAACATCAATAAAAAACTATGAACAATGAGATTCAGAGAAGCTTCCTTGTTACTAAACATATCAAAGGACTAGGAGAATGGCACACCCCAACTCATAGAGACAGAGATTTGGTACCCTTTTGGATTCACTCTATTTGCCTTCCCATCTGGCTCTTCATTTGTATTCTTTATAAACCAGTAATCATAAATACAGGTGACCCTTGAAAAACATGAGTTTGAACTGTGTAGGTCCAGTTGTACGCAGGTTTTTTTCAATAAATGTAGTCAACCCTTTGCATCCTTTGGTTTCACATCTGCAGATTCAAGTAACTACAAACAGAAAATGGTATTATCACATTCCCAATCACAGTTTCCCACCTACAGATTCTCAACTGGGGATGAAAAATACTGTTTTTGATCCCCAGTTGTTTGAATCTGCATATGTGAAGTGCCAACTCCATAGACAAAGGTAGTACACAGATTTTTGACTGCATAGGGATCAGCGCCCCTAAAATACCCCAAAACCCATGTTGTTCAAGGGTCAACTGTATAGCATTTTCTAGAAAATTATCAAAACTGAAGGAAGATTACAAAAAACACCAAATTTGTAGCCAAATCAGACAAAAATGCAGGTAGCTTGGGGACCTGGGATGTGCAACTGGTATCTGAAGTGGTGGCAGTCACTCAGTCGTTAACCTCTGGGGTCTGCACTAACACTGGGTAGGTAGTTAGTGTTAGAGATGAATTGTAGGCTGCCCAGTTGGTGTCAGATAATTGTTGTGGAGTAACACAGTGTGTTAATCCTGAGCCAGATATGCAAAGAGAGTAAATAATACTATATGGCAATGTCAAGATTTAGAGGTTTTGTCTATTTACATCTATCTTGTATGGCCCATGTATCAGACAGTTTAGAAAAAGGTCAGGTCAAAAGAATCACTGGCAAGGATTCATATAAAGATATTTTTTTCATTTTTTTAAAAAGTCATTTCAATAACAATGAAAATAACAACAACAATAAAGCTATCATTTATCATAATCTCTGTAAATTGCTTAGATTTTTGTAGTTCTCAATAATCCTCAGTCCTCCTGACAGCACTGGGAGGTACATATCCTCATTCTTATTCTTTCTTTTTTCCTCATTAATTTATTACATATTGAAACTTGGTAGACATTAGTCTGTGGGGAATTTAGCGTGACACTGAGGACACAAGGCCATCTCTCTCAACATTACCATATCTTGTATTGGGAAGTGTACTTTCACACAGTAAGAAGAGGTTATTTAAAAGTCAGTTAAAAGAGCAATGCTTTCATTCCATCCTATGGAAATTAGGAAACTCCGAAGCCACAGTTCTTAAACTTTTCTCAAGATCACAGAGGAGCAAACATAACAAAAGAATATAGGAGGAATTCCTTTCATAAGTCGCATTCTCTCACCAGCAGTTTTCTTTCTCTCTCTTTTTTATTTTAAGAGAGCTTCCCTGTCTGAAGTCTGAATTATTTAAAGAAAAGCTCACTTCCCTTGTCCCCATCCACTCTCATGTGATGTTCCTCACAAAAATTAACTTCACGCTTTCACAGGTGTGTCTGTACCTCTGTTAACAACATTTTAGTATCTTTTACAGTTCCTACAATTATCTAGTCTAGCACTTTATTAATTATCACTATACTGCCTCCAGTTATGCAGCACAAACACACTGGGAAACTTTCCAAATACCTTTCTAGGGGACA